TTATTAATTTAGGTGGTTTTCCCTACTGGAGCAGCAACCGATCTCAGATATGTAATTTCTTCCTAGTGAGAATAGTGAGTACCAATTTTTCTTATCTAAATGTATCTTTTCATTTAGACAAAGGTGTTAGGAAGCCACGTAAGGCAAGGGAAATGCGTGTAGAACAGGGAGCAGGTGGACAGGGTGCTGAGGATGGCCTGGAGCCACCAGCAGGCTTTCAGGGTGTGGAGAATATGTGCTCCTCTGGGTCTGGACACCTGCTGCCAGGAGCAGGAACTGTAAAAAGGATGAACCTTCTCCAACAGGGACCTAATTCGAGGGACCAGGAAAGCACCATCCCGAGAAGCCATGAGGTGGCTGTCCTCGAGGCCCTGGACACAGGACTCGCCCTTCTCTACAAGGTGACATATTTCCTGAGAGCACTGTGCTGAGCACAAGCACTGGAGCAGCTTTTTAAACAGTGACTGCTTTCAGGAGGGCTGCACTAGACAAGACCCTGTCTACAGATGCATTGGCGAGCTTTTATATTGGTGGGGGGATGTGGAGGCAGAGCGGGCTGCTAATCAGCCTTCCTTATATAACAAATGCAAACACTACTATCTCTCAGATGAGAAGCCAGGTCTTCAGACTGCCTGCTGCAGAGGGGAAGGTTAAGAAAGAAGCGAGTTCTGGGTCTTCCTTTCTGGAAACAGAAGATCCCTGAATGCAGGTTTTGCATCTGAAAGCCTGCAAAGGAAAAACTGCACTCTCTAAATCCAGCTTTTTCCTGGAGCCCGGAGAGGAAGAACTTGCGGAGTAGGGATGGGTGGGCGAGGGGGAGAAGGGTCGCCTGAAGTTGCAGAAGCTGCAGAAGCTGTGGTAGGAGGTCACAGAATAAACCAAATGCCCTTCCAGAGGTGTCTGGTGTGGGACCCGGCTGCTCCCACTGCACGCAGGAACCAACCTCCACGCTGCCTTGAAGGTGGGAGCTGGCCCCTCTGACAGCAAGGGGGGGTTGTCCAGCCTCAGCAAGCCCCACACCCGGGACTGAAGGGAGTTTGGTTGTGCCTGAAAGAGGAATTTCAGTCGAGTTTCCCCGCAGATTCCTCTCAGCAAGAAAGGAAATCTTCCTGCATTTCCTCCACCAGAGACCTGGCTCCCAGGCAATCCCAGCCAGCCTGCCACCAGCAGAAAGATGGAGCGGAAAGGCTGGATCTCTGGAAGCAAGAGCCCAGAGCAGGGACCCTCTGGACAGCCCTGAATTGGGCTTGGCTCCCAAGGGTAGACCCTCCTGTCCATCTCTGCAGGTCCCCCCACACACAATTAAGACACCTCCAGATCCTCCTTCTCTGCCAAGCTGCACACAGGGATAATGACAATGGGGAAAAGAAAAGAAAAAAGTGGGGGAGGGGGCGGGAGGAAAGAGAAAGTTTTCTGAAACTGAAGATTTTATGAAAGAGGGCTAAGAAAAAGGGAAATGGCACAGAAAGGAGGGGTGGCCACAGGAGAGGGGTGCTGATGCCGCCACCCCTGGGTGCCATTCAGAGCACCCAGAAGCCTCGCTGGAGGTGGTGGCAACAAAATCATCGGCCAGCACGGCCTCCCGCACTCCCGAGATCCAGGTCGAAAGAGCCGGGCTTTGCCAGGACGCGCGCCCAGCCGGGTTGCGCGACTAGGAGCGGTCACCCCCGGCCTGAGTGTCTCCTGAGTGTCTCCCGGGTGCACCCAGGTCTCCGTGCCCGTTCTCAAGTGCAGGGGCCAGCCTGTCTTTGCGGGACCAGTGCAGGGGAGGGAAACGCCAGGCTCAGGGAAGGTGCGTCCTCCCTTCGGGTTCGTGGAAGATCGCGAGGAGCCGCGAGCCCTGGCTGGAAGCCTGGAAAGAGAAAAGGAAGAAGGCGCAAGGAGCAGGACGAGTCCGAGAGCCTTCGGACCCTAATCTTGTGGGCGGCTGAGGCGGCCGGCGGGTCGGGGCGGCTGGCTGCGGGCGGGCGAAGACGTGGCCTGGGCTTGCCTGCTACAGGGGCCGCCCTGGAGACTCCGAGGTCGGCCTCCTCCAGCACAGCGCAAGCCGAGCCGGGGTTGGCTGGTTAGTGCTCAAAGGGTGGGTGGGTGGGTACAGAGGTGTCTGCAAGGGCATCAATGTGGGTTCAGGGTGTGGGTAGCTATGTGTCAGTGTGTCTCTACAGTTGAAGTACAGGGGTCTGAGGCTGTCAGCATCTCGGAGGAGCAACCAGTAGCAATGAACCGGCCAGAGTCTCCTTGTCATTCTGAGTCAGCTTGATGGGGTCTGTCTCTGTGATGATTTTGGGGGTGGGGGGAGTAAGAAAATCAGTGCTTTGAAGTTTGCAGCCCTCCCCCGTGAGCAAGGTTTTCTGGCAGAGTCCAGGTGACTAGAGGTGGGGACGTCAGTCTGCTTGGGATGATTTCAGAGGGAGTCAAACCTCAGCCACTCGGACTCTCTGTCTCCTAAATCACACAGCAGGCTTTTTTCCAGAGTGCCATCTGACCGCTTTCTCCCCAGGAGGACACAGTTTGCACATGCAATCACCCACCTAACCATAATACCCGTTGCCCCTCCATCCACCAGCACACAGACTGTTATCCACAGCCCTGCTCTCAGCCCTCACCAGCCCCCCAGATCACTGTCTAAGCCTTCCCTGCCATAAACCCCTTTGGGCTGGTGAAAGAAACTGGGCCTAGGACCTTAAACAGAAAAATCTCCAACCTTTCCTACTAAATGACACCAAAATGTTATTAAATATAAATGGTGCTAATATTATTTGCCGCCTTACTTTTTAGACCCCCCCCCCAACATATTGGCCAGACACCACCACCCCAGCATCCAGAATCCAAAGCCAAAATCAATTCCATAATAGTTTCCTTCTCCTTCCTTCTCCCAGGCGTTTCCCGCTCTAGTTTCTGGCTAGAGTTCTGCCAATTAGGTCTCCTGCACTTTCCTATGAAATTCCATGTTAGAAACCCCAGGACAGAAAACCCCAAGGATAGGAGGCCTTGGTTTTAGTCTCACTGACTGCAGGTATTAGATCTGGGGAAACCAGAAGTCCCTTGGAATCGGCTATTGTCGAAGGTTCATAACTTTTCTTGGACTTAGGAGAGGGGGTGTCCCAGCTCTGACTCTTAGAGGGGTCTGAGGCCAACTCTAAGTGAGACACAGGGTTTCAAGGAAGGTTACACAGGCTTGGAGAGACTTAGGTGGGCTCTTGCAAGAGACTGGGAAAGAAAAGGTTCTGGGCGATGTCCTAGGTGAGCACCTCCAGGCGGGAGCTGGAGCCGCTGTGGCAGACCAAAGTCCCCAACCCCCTATAACCCCAACTGGGGAGCCACTGAAATCCGTGCCTGCTGCATGCAGTGTCTTTCCTTGGGACTGAGGACTCCTGACCCAAGTGGCAGGCATGCCCTGGACACAGCACCCCCAGGAAACAAGTCTGCACTTTCCCGTCAGAGAGAGTCTGGTGCTGGATTCCTCCGGCTTCTGCAAACCCTGGGGGGAGAGGGCTGGGCCTCCACTCAGAGCTGGCTCCCCAGCTCTGGGCAGCTCCAGAGAATGGAGGGCATTGCAGCCCAGGTGGGAGGGCAAGGAGCGGGTTGTTGAGTCCATTTCCCCATCAGGCTCTGGCCATCACGACTGCAGAGCTGAGCGTAGAGAGCAGGCCAGTGCTGACACCCCAGCCCGAAAGCCCCTGTACCCCTCTGTGCTCACAACCGGATCTTGGCCGGCCGTACCTGCAGTGAGAAGCAGAAAACACATTTGAGGTTCACATACACAAACACTCACACACTCCAGGGAGAGATGTGCTTGTATTTAGTACACCTGCCTTCTTGGGGGGGGGGGGGAGGGGGTGACAGTGCTGGAAAATTGAAGCTACTCTTGAAGAGGTGGAAGGAGAGTCACAGTCAGGTGAGCGCAGATTTCTCTAAATAAACACCATTTCCATGGTTTTAATAAGCAAAATAGGAAACCATTTTAATAACCAAAAAACAGAAACCAGTCTGAATAAAACTACAATAGACTAGGTTTTAATATTTTCATATCATAAGCAGGGTTTGAAATTGATCCCTTATTTTACATGAAATAAAAACAATTTCTGTTGCAGCAATTTGATTTCAACACAGTTGAATCCGTAAAAACCGAAGCTCGTTTCTGATGCAGGACGAATATCCACAATATTTAAAACTGCAAGCACCATGCGGTTCATACAATCTTGTTATTACTGTTAATTTATCAACTAATACAAACTCAAAAATGCATCTGGCCAGCAGCGCCAGCAATTTCAAAGGGGAACTAAAAAATACGCTTTTGTTTTGGTATTTTTGTCAGTGCAACTTAAATCCTTTTACTGACCTGCAGGGGGAAAAAAGGTAATAATAAAGAAAAACACCCAGGTTTCCCTATAACTATTATACAACTGAAGGGGGAAGGACACCACCAATAACTCCCCGCTATCTCAAGAGCAGGGAATAAACACACTTAACTTGCTGGTCTGAAGAACACACTTGAAAGTTGCAAAATTACTTGCCAGTGTTCAGGTGTAGGATTCATTCTGAGGACGGTGGTTGGTTCATCACAAGTTCAGGTCACCGCTGGGAAGTGCCGGCACTGGCCAGGCTGAAGCTGCTCAACTGAAGAGTGATGACCAAGGCGTGCCCCAGCAAATAGTGACCACTTGAACACTGTGAACAGACCCTGGGAGGATTCTGGTTGCAATAAAAAGCACACAGATCTGTTTTCCTTTCCATCTTGGTGTGGGTGTTAATTTAGCCGAAATACTAAAAAGGGCTGGGAGGACCCTCCTCGGCTTGGGGGTGCAAAGGTCCGCAGCTGCCCTGCCCTGGTCCTCCGGAACTGGGACCGCAGTCCTCTTTCAACAAGGACATATTTTAAAACTCGAGTGGGAGGCGAGAGAAGAACAAGTGGGGGCCAGGTGGAAAAACGTGCAACTTCCAAGGGTGTCCCTAGACAAAGTTGTTTTCTGATGCAAAATGCCTGGAACTTTTTCTTCACTTACAAAAAATAAATGTTTGCCATCATCATAAACCCAAACAAAGACGCTCAGCTTGCTGCCACGTTCTCTAAGCGGTTTGGCGGGGCGGGTATTTACAAGCCGACAGCCGGGGTGGAAACCCGGCCAGCAGCCGCGGGAGTTTCCAAACTGCGATCCCTTCTCACTCAAAGAAATACGGGGGTTATGATCCATGATCAACAACATGCTAAAGTTAAACAAGAAAATGGTACAAAATAGAAATTATTACCATACATGTCCAGCATGCAGGATTAATATTTTTAATGCAGATTTTCGTAGTTTTTCTATATAATCGAGCAGGCAATAAAATTGATGAGATTTGCGCGCGGAACGTCCTAACTGAGGCTCGAGTCTCCGGGCTGAGAGCCAGTGTTCTCCGGGCCCTGGACAGACAGACCCATCTGTCCTTCCTTCCTTCGCTCAGTCTCTCCTCGCGCCCTCCGGGACGCCAGGGTCCCTCTCCTCTCCTCTCCTCGCTGCTCTCTTCCTGGGCTGCACCGCGCTCCGGACGGCGAGGCAGCGGCCCCGGCTTAACACGCAAAGTTCAGAAAGCCAGGAGTCTCCAGACGGCCTTGGCGACTCCTCGGGACTATGCCTTGCCGCCCTCCAGCCTGGAGAAAAGTTGCTCCGGGACTTCCCACCCCCCTCATCTCGCTCTGGCTCTGCTCAAGTCTCGGAGGCGGCCCTGGCGCGCGCCTCTCTCGCCTCGGCCAAGGTCCCCAGCCTGCCCGCGCGCCCTCCCGTCGCCCGCGTCCCGCGCGCCGTTCCTCCCTCTCCCTCAAGTCAAACAGGTCAAGGCTAGGGCCGTGGCAGGGGCAGGGTCCAGGGCAGTCCAGGACTGGGGACAGGGAGTCCGGGCTAGGGCAAGGGTGGGGGCCAGGACCGGCCGCGACTCACAGAAAGAACTCAGGAGAGGAGGGGCTGTCGCTGGTGGAGCCCGCCTCCCTGAAGCCGGAGTTGGCGAGTTTCTCGCACTTGACCTTGTAGGCGTCTCTTTCGCGGGCCAGCCGGGACACCTCCTGCTTAAGCTGCTCCACCTGCTGAATGAGCTGCGTCTTCTCGTTCTCCAGGTGGTGTTTCTGCTGGACGCGTTTATACCTGCACGACTGGGCGTAGCCCCGGTTCTTCAGGGTCCGCCGCTTCTGCTTCAGGCGGATCACCTCGTCCTTGGTGAAGCCCCGCAGGTGACGGTTCAGCTCGCGCACCGACATGGACACGAGCTGGTCGTCGGAGAAGCGGTCCTCTACGCTGCCGCTGCCGCCTGCCGCCGTCGCCGCGGCCGCCGCGTGGGGCCCAGGCCCCGGGTGGCTGGTGGGCAGCTGCTGCGCAGGGCTGGCCGCGCTGGACGGCGGAGGCGACGCTTGGTGATGGTGGTGATGGTGCGGGTGCGCGTGCGGGCCCAGCTCTTCGTGGGTCACACCGGCGCCTGGGTACGCATGGTGGGGGTGTGGGTGGTGGTGGTGGTGGTGGTGGTGCGCGCCGCGGAAGCCGTCGAAGCTCTGCAAGGGCTGTGGCACCGGGTGCGAGCCGATGAGCGCTTCCACCGCGTCCTCAGGCGTCAGGTTGAGCGCTTCGGGGTTCATCTGCTGGTAGTTGCTCGCCATCCAGTACAGGTCCTCGAGGTGGGTCTTCTGTTCGGTGGGACTGAAGCTGGGAGATGAGGGCACCGAACTACACGGCGTGCTGAGTGGTGTGGACGACACTGAGCCCGCTGGCTGCAGGCGCGTGCAGGGCCGACCCGGACGCTCCGCGCGTCCCAGCGGCTCCTTCTTTACGTCGAACTTGAGCAGGTCGAAGTCGTTGACATACTCCATGGCCAGCGGGCTGGTGGGCAGCTCCGGCCCCATGCTCAGCTCCGCGGCCATCGCTGACGCGAGGCGCAGTCGCCGCTGCCGCCCGAGAAACTTTGCGGCCGGCCGGGGCGCGCCGAGC